GTAGGGTAATGAGGCATTCCGCTTAAAGCTTCCCGCGCATTGGAAGCAGCACCCAGTTTTCCATGTTTCCCAGCTGTCGCCCTTCAAGGGCGTAATTCCCACAGATCTGGAACTGATTGTCATTAATAATGGGGAAGAAGCTGAGGTAGAGGCTATCCTGGCATCTCAGAAGTCGTGACATTCAGTTCAATATCTTGTGGCCTGAAAAGGATATCCAGCATATGAAAATAGTTGGGTCAAGGCGCGCGATTGCACATATTGCATGGCCCTGGTTGAAGCTTTCCATTTATCCCACCCTGAGGCTCCCCGTCCTCTTCAGAAGATTGTGACAATTATGGCTATCAAGTTACCTAAAGCACACAAGAACGTGGCTCTGGTGCAGTTTCCCGGTGGGGGTGCCATTCCTTTGGAAAAAGGAAAGGGTAATGTAAGTCTTGGGGAACGTCCTTTGGCTCTCAATTGTGTCATCTTCCCATTCCCAAATAACAAGACACTGTAGAGGATGGCGGTACCTCTCATCACTCAGGGTAATCTCGCTCACATAGTAGATGAGTGATGGGTGATGGCCCTTCCGCTTCAGATCCCACCCCCAATACCCACACTCACATTGGCAGAACTGTTGCGGGAAATTAGTTATATCTGTGCTGATATTACTGAATTGAAATCAGCTGGATCAAATTTGGGTGGTAATCTGGCTGATGGCCGAAATTTGAATGGCTGTAAAAGCATGAAGAATGAGATATCAGCCAGATCACCTGATGGCTCTAATTCAATCACTAAACCAGTAGAACAAATAATGGGCACCATCGACAAGGCTTTAAAGCCCTCTGATAGTAATTTGGGCATTGCGCCTGATGTGCTGCTGTTGACTGAATGAACAGTTAAATGACCAAGCGTGGGAGGGTTGGCCATCCCGAACCTGTTTCCAACCAAATAGACCTGTCCCTGTAAGGGATGGCCTTGGGGGATTCCTGTCGCTCATCAGGCCAAACGCCATCATGCAAACCATTGGAAACATAGTCAAGCCTTGGTTCAGACGTTTGAGGTCAAACCAACAGAGACTCAGCCCGCCGCTGAATTTTGTGATTTCAGTTCCCAAAGAATAAACCTGCCCATTCCCAAACAATTTGCCAGTTAGGTTGAATTTGTGGAACCTAACCACATCCTGTCACTACCTAATCAACCACTATTTAATCAGTTGCATGGCACTGAGAAAATTGTTGGTCAATTTTCTTACTTTCCTTTCCAAATAAAATTTTATCAAAAAACCAAATTTTGATTTCCCTTTTCTGACCACATCCCAGATGTCATTTCCCTGGTGGCCTGTCGCCCCGCACTCTGGGTGGGCTTTACCAATTCTCTTGGTCATTATGGCTCCCTCCATTGCCAATTGGGTTCAGCGAGTCCAATATTTTTGGCTCTACAACCCCATTCTCACGAACTTCTGGCAGCAATACATGGGGATCTTATGGCCCTATGTCCATCACTGGAAAGAAAGAATCCATCTCCTTGTCGCTCCCAATGAGGTGGCCTCACATGCCAAAAGTCTTGTCAAAACTATCACAGTAATACCACCCCCTGCAGCTAGACCCACTTGGTTGGGACTGGGTTCAGTGTGGTTTGTCGTCGGGATACTCCTCACCTTATTGTTTCACCACCACTTCATAATACACATTTCCCAGCTTCATATCAAGTTGTTCGGTTGGCAATGCCTCTGGCATTCTGGCTTGCTTTTTGGGTGCTCACGCATCCTGACTGGCAGGCCGGTCTAAACTTCTTCTGCCATTTCCATGACAGGAGGGCACTCAAGATGCACATGCGCAACTGGAGCGTCCTCCCAAGAATAGATGCTATTCAGTAGTTGCTAATTAAGTTTATTGATGCTCTCATATTAGGGTTGATACTGATCATTGTCACCGGATGGTATGTTTAACTGGAAGGTGACCAAAACTCTAGGCTTTCAGGCTGGATAGGTGGAACTTTGTACTGAGAGGTATTGATCCATCGATTTTCTGCTTCTTGACTGATCAGCATATTGGTTTTTCTTGATTGCTATTATTCTCCATTTTATGTGATAGATGCTTTCACTTGGACAGCTGGGAGCCCCCTTGTTGTATGCACCACTTTTCTCAATGTAAAAATTCTCTTGGCTTTAGCCAGAGCTTGAGAATGGGCTCAAAGCTGTAAACTAGCATAGAGTTGTTAAAGACAAAAGGATAAGGCGAAAAAAGATTACTTTACAAAGTTATAAAGTAGCTATATCTATAATATGTGCGGTGATGTGGTGCCTGATGTAAGTCTGAGATGCTCAGCCCCCATGCCTAGACAAGGATTAACATCCCATCAAGACCAAAAGAGGTCCAAAGGCCCAGGTGGACCCCCTGTCACAGTTAAGTGACTTGGCTCATATGGTGGATGAGAACTGATTCAATTCTCTGGCAATCAAGCATCCCCCATCCATGCCTCTTCCACTCATCTACCCTTTTAGAGATGATAGAGTAGGTCTTTAGAGAGGTTACCCAATCCAGGGGCAACAGGTAGGCCCTGGGGCTCACCCTACCCCTAGAATTTTTTCCATTATTTATCAAAAATAGGTCAAGATGACTTTGAGGCCCAGTTTGCTAGTTTTGGCCAGGAAATCTGGTCTGGGCTACCTGCAACGGAAAATTGAATTAGGTCATGATTTGGGCTATTAAATGATTGACAAATGAGCTGTCACAATTGTCCCAACACCCTGGAATGGATAGGGAAGTTTTGGATGTATGTCAGCCTGATTTGAATGGTCAGAAGCTTGGTTGATACTCTCAACCTGACTTGGCCACAAAATAGGGAAAAGTCATAAAAGTTTTCTTTGAATATTGTCAAGGACTCAAATACCTCCATGCCCACAAATCCCTCAGACAATCAGATCCCACTGATGAATCCTAAGGGACCAATACCTTAATACCTCTACAATTTTCCCCTCAATTCATAAAACAATAGCGTCTACCAGGGGCTGTTGTCAGTTCATTTTACTCTCTCAACAAAGTTGTGATAAAAAACCCTTGCAATCTCACCCATTCCGTCGCAGAAACCCTCCAGCATTTTCTTTATCTAAAACATTCCGCATTTTGATCTGGTAAAGTGCGCCACTGCTCGATTTTACCCCAATGATCATTAACTGGGTTTTCCGTTCAATTGACCTTACTACCTGGGAGGCCATGATGAATCTCTTGAAGAAATTCACCCATGATAAAATGCACTCACTTCATGACATCAACATGCATTTGATTGTTTTAAACCTGGCTCTCTGTCTATTGCTGGTTCAACAGAAGTTGCTCAATGGATGCAACAGCATCAGAGCGGCCCCATCCATCATCAGCAGAGTTTGAACCCCCACTCAACCCTCCTTAAAAGGACTTTGTCACTAAAAAGCCTAAAGCACCACTCTCAGGGAGGCTCAGGCCAGCACTCTGCATGGACACCACTCACACCCCTTTTTGCATCCAATCTTGTAACGAAACTCAAAACTCCTTGCTTCAATCCAATATACCAAAAATTAAGATTTTAGACCTGCAACCACGGAATATCAAGGAATTGTCATCCTCCCTACCTCCTCACCTTAAGGGTTGCTCCGCATGACCTGCAATTGCCCTATTGCAGCTATTAGGGTTGCTTTGGGGCCTTAGGTACATTGTTGAACTTTTACTTTCTTCATGTTTACGCTAGAACCTCTCTCCTCCAAGTCATTTGGACAGCTGTGCCCCTGGCATTCTGGGCTCTCCCTATAGGTGTTCACACATGCTGATTGAGAGAACAGATATATCTTTCTTAGACGCGTCCTTGACACCTGAGGAGACCTTTATGCCATATGATCAACATTTTTACATCCTTCTACATTAACCACCTGGTTTGTGCCTTTATTGTTCTGCATGTTTCTTGTGACCTCAATGGTGGGGTCACGCCTCTTGAGGTTTGGTTAGTAGGAATGAAATTCCTGAAGGCATCTTCATTAATTCTTGTGTGCGTGATGTCTTCTTTATTAAAACTTGTATTAGCGCCTTCAGGGACAGGTTTTACTTGTGCTGGCTTAAGATTCAACTTGATAAGGCGATTTGGGATTATATATTTTGAATCGCTCATCATCTCAAATCCTGACACATCTAGACCTACATTAACTAATTTAATGCAAAGGTAGACATTGATTTGTGTCATTTAAGCAGAGGTTATATAACTTCTATAGAGTTCAAAAAAATTTACTATCAATATCATACACTAATAGTTCTTTATAAAGAATTACTTAATCGGCATAAGAATTTTCTGCTATTATATCTACAATTGATGTAATATAAAAAATACGCGTAATATAGCTTTTATTTTTATTAGCAGCCAATGATCTCTCAAATACTAAAAATAGCAAAAATATTGCTTTAACCCAAAAAAATGAGTTGCACAAACTGCATTTCTATTTACTGAACTATTTTTGACATGTACTAAAGTGCTTAAATTGTTAGCCAAATTGCCAGATATAAATTCATTAAGTATGTACTTATAATATCTTTGCAATGAAGCACCACAACTTTTCTATTATCAAAGAGTTAGAGGCTTCCAAACCAAACTTTTCTGTCATGATAACAGAACAAGTCTAGGGTTTAGTAATCACATAGTTGAAGATAAATACATAGAATTTAAACTTAGGTTACTAAATGTATTTTACCTAAAGATTAATATTAAAACCTGCACTAAGTCTCTAGCAAGAATATGGAATTAATTTCTATTTTTATTCATTTGTTGGTCATTTAGGGATTAAAAAACAAAGCATAACCAAAAAGTAATTATTCCTAGCTGACTTTCTGATGCAGTTAAAAGTCATAATTATATTCTTTGACATGATCATAAACTACAAATTAAACCTTGCTCTTTTGAAAAATAATTTCTTGTAACCATATATATTGTCTTGGTGATCATCTAGATATAATTTATTACATATTTTCAAAAGCTATAGGAAAAATGGATTAGGGGGAGAGGAAGGCGAGTTGGTAAGGGCGTACGGCTACCAGCCTGAAGGTTACGGGTTCAATTCCCGCCCTTTTTCACATCGATTGGGGTGCCAGCCAAAGGAAGCTATTGGTGGTTAGTAGGTCTAATAACACGAAAACTTTACCCATGACATAACCAGAAAAATTTGAGTCCTGATCCGGAGGTGGAAAAACTTTCTTTGATGGAGTTGACCCTGTTCAAGTTTCATGTCATTTCTTTCTTTCAGTAATGCCTGTCCCCTGGTCAGCTTGCCTCGGTTAAATAAATATAGGAAAAATGGATTAATGATAGTGGATAACATGGTAGCTAGATTCTATAGATTTTTCTTGTGATACTTTACCATGTTAAGGAAAAACAATATGATATCTTACAAAGGCTTTAGTACCATAGTCAACACATAAGATCATACTAGATATAGACTATTACTTGTGTCTCTTTTGTACAGCTTATAATTAACCTTATTTTCCAAGCATGTTGTTTTTCTGCTCACTTTTCCATAACAACTGGACAAACGCAAGGATTTAATCTATTGCTAAACAATATCTTAGCTGTTAAGCTTTTAGTTTGACAAAATGATTAATTTAAATGGCGCTTGTTGCATCCAGAGTTATAACAGGGCAAAGTATGCACAGGTTGTAAAGCTCTCAATAAGTTATAGCTGTTTGAAAAATTTTACCCCAAATTAAATCTTGTGATTAGGGTAAGATTTATTGTTTTTAGGTATATTATCTTCAGCTTCACTGTAGTATTGGATAGTACTTCCAGAGCTGAAAAACATCATAAGTAATAAGAGTCTAGTTCTAACGGATTGTAGATGCCATATATTTGTTGCCACTCTATTTTCTGTAATCCTTACATATTGTCCCTGTTTCCATTAAATGACCCATAAATATATGCAATTTAGTATATGGAATATACTTAATTCATTGGCCTTATAGAGTCACTTGAATTTACGTTAGTTTTAATTTTAGTCTACTAAAATTTTTAAGTATGCCTCAATGTCTTGGTGTGCAATATGTCAGAAATTAATAAAGGTCAATAGATATGGTTTCCTTAGAATAAAGGCAAAAGTCACTTTGAGGAAACTAATATGTTGGAATGTCCAGGTAACACTAAACAAACATAGATTGGAGTGAACAAGAATCTAACTGGTGTTAAGTTTTGCCCTAGTTCAGATTCTGGTTCTTCATATGGGATTAAAGTCAGAGTTATGAGCTCATCTCATATAAGGACTCTAGACCACATGGTGATAGTTCTTATAATATAAAATCTTAAAAGATGAGACTAGAGGAGGGTAGTCTCCTGTTTATTTACTTGTACAATGGATTCCTGCCCTGATCTTCCTGATCACAAGTAAATTCCTAACTTAGTACAACAAAAAGTTATTAAATGTAAAATGCTTGCTGATTTCAATTTACAAAAATATTATTCTGCTAAAGCTTGTTCTTTTTTATTTTAGCAAAATATAAAGAATTGATAGAGTTCTATGTTTTCCACACCTTTATGAATGACACCTCATCTTACATCACACACTCAACCAGCGGTTCATGATGAGGGTCTACAGTATATTAGTCGTCCCGCTGAAACCCAGTTCATCCTCGTGGACAGTGTCTTCCTGACATAATTACTTCAAGGAAGCTTTTCCTCCAAAGCGTCTAAAATGGCTAAATCATTGTTCCTCTTGAGCAACCATAACACATATTAAGTTAGTTTATACCACTTATTAGAATTGATTTAATTATAACTTGATTGACATAAAAACTAATTTTGACTTATCCAAAGAAGCCCCCAACCTTACTCATCAAGATAATGTAATTAAGTAAAACTGCTAGGCTGTAAATCCTAAGTTTCATTTGTACTTAGAATATTTTATTCAATAATTTCTGATCTGACAATTAAGATCCAGTCAACCATTAAAAACTTCCCCCATCTTGACTGGATATAAGCAGAGGGTTCCTTTCCCTCTTGATCACAATGTCCAAATTCTCATAATCCTTAAAGTGCAATCGCTATCTCAGCAGCCTTTCTGCCTAGGATAGGCTTGTTTTAAAAGGCTCAGTTCCTTTATGCTGTGCACTATTATTATTTAGGCATTATTTCTTCTATCCAATTGTCTCTTCCTTTCCGCAGCTTTTTCTCCGAATTGTAACCTCTCTCGCCTGTTCCAAAATCCATTATAATGGCCACTTGCCCTGATTCTTTGCTCTTTTCTAGTTGGACATGACAATGTGCCTGGTGCCAAGTCTTCTTAGGTTTAGCACTTCTTTGACAAGGTCACAACAGTCAGGACTTGTATATAAATTGCATCTCTCCACCAATCACTCTTCCTTGGGCTACACCTGTGCAAGCTCACTCTCCTTCCTCTCATGAAGAAAGGGTATCCATCTCTGACGACAACGTTGCTTCCAAAAATATGAATTGCAAGTTGCTTTATTCAATAAATACTACTTTTTTCCAATTCTAATAATTTTTATCTATAATTTTTCATCATATTTTGTTTTTTTATTATTATTTTTTTATTTTTCTTATTTCCTATGATATGTAAAAAGGAACTTAGTGTGTACTACTTCACAACACAACTTCCTTGATACTTGATAGTGAATTCGTCTTCAGAAGAACTTTTTAATGCAATAAAAGGACCTTTCCAAAGTGAGGCAAAAAGTTTGCGCATGGACCTCAGTATGGTTGTCACAGAAACTAAGTCTCCTTCTAGGAACTTAGACTCATAAAATTGATTAGTCATCATAACTCTTCTGACTTGTTTTTCAGCTAATCACGTTCTGATAAGCCTTGAACTTAAACTTGATCAGTATATTCATCAGTTGTTTGACAAAACTTGTAGGGCTAAATGCCTTAGCTGGATAAGTGCTGAATATAAAAAAGGTTGAGCTGGTTGTCTATCATACAAAAAATCAAGAAAAAAAGTGTCCAGTGCTTCTATGATGTCCAATGTTGTACACAAGCTTTGTAGCTTTAATGAGGTAGCCCATTGTGATAATGCCATGTCTGCGTTTTTGCGCAATATGCAAATATGGTGCCATTCACTCGTTCTAATATACCATTAGTCTCAGGGTGTACAGCGTTGACAAAACACCTTAAATAGACATGAGCTTGTTAAAGCCTTAAACCATCTTAACAATAAAATTTGTTCCTTTGTCCATCAAGATCTTTTAAGACATTTGTGCATATATAATGATTTAAACCATGATGAATTTAGAAGTTTTCAAGGCCCTGATGTGTCATATTGCTTTCACTTCCACTCATTTTGTCAGATGGTTAATAACAACAATGAAATATTTGTTGCCAAGGCTATTCACGGGCAAGGGGCAGATATAATCATAATATACCATATGGTAGGCCATTCAGGTTTAATTAATTGATATTTCACATCTGACTTTATAGGCTTTGCAATTTGGCATATATGGCATTTTTTGATTACATATTGAATATCAAATTGCATGGAAACCCAGTAGTAATTGTATCAAGTTAATAATAGCGTCTTGGTCAATCTTTCATGTATGAAAGCCTTGTGGGCCTAGGTAATAGTATCCATCCATTCAGAAAGCTTCAGGAAAATTCTACGCTGTTCATCTGGATTAACTTAGTATATTCTTACATCTTATATGCAGTGTCCATTAATGCTCTCTAATAGCCTTCTTTACATCATGTCTCACCCTCATACCTTTGATTTTTCATTTTTTCATAAAGCTCATTAGCCATGTTGCTCAGAAGGGCTACAATTGGCATGGCTAAGTTCACTCTTTTCAAACTTAGGATAACTGTTGTACTACTTGTCCCTTCAGCTGGTATATTCTAAATTATTTGATGCATGTATTTCTTAGTGACTGCTTCAGTTGCTTAAGGCATATTGACTTCTTCTAAGAGCAGTAGCCGCATGTACTTTCATAGAGTCTTCAATGTCAGCATACTCTTTTTGATCAGTGGGACCGGTGTTTCTGGCACAATATAGCATCCCACTTCTATTGTGCTTGCTCTTTTCCCTCCTTATGTGAGTCAAAAGAAAGGATGCCATTGGCGCTACATTTGAGGCACCTGGAGGCATAATGCCCTTTATATTTTTTAATTAGGCCAAGTGATTTCACTTAATGGGCAAAGTGCCTTGGCGTTTTTGGGTTGATTATTTTAACTGGTGGATCACTGAAAGTTTTGTTATTTTCAACGGGTTTCCTCAGGTGCAGCAGGTCCTGATCATTATCTGGTATTTGGATGGCCATAACTTTGTAAGTATCTGTGTAGATAATTAACCAACTTGGATGTTGCGAGGTTCTTAATGAAGGCAGACAAAAAAGTATTCATTAAATTATGATAGGATTTCGCTGCATGTTACAAGGCTATCTTAGCATCAAAATTGATCATTACCTTTGTGATAAGAGTTCCTGAGCTTTGCAATAGATCTCTTCTGAAAATTTATCTTATTTCATCTTTCTTAAAGATAATATTCATGAATTTATATTTTATTGTTGAAATTCTTTACAAACCTCCTAATTTTGCACAGTATAGCATCTTTACCTTCATAATTACTAGAATTTTGTGTAAGTGCGGCATAATTTGTTTAATACTCCATTTGTCTAAGCAATTGATAATAGTAGCTGCTTTGTTGCAATCACTGGCCTCATACATGGCCAATTTTTAATCATGGATGAAAGTGACCATAATCCCATTCTTATCAAAAGCAGGCAGGTTCAAAGGTTTGTAGTTATCATTCTCCCACTCATGGCGATCACATTTTTTTTTCTACTGGCTAAAATTGGGTGTCACATGGCGCTGAGTCGCTTTACCACAGTTAGAGGAACTTGGGTTGGCCAAAATTAACCATTATATGTGGCATTTGCTGACGCGGCCTGGATTCAACTTCAGGATTGACTTTTAATAATTTATCCTCATGATATTCAGAGGCATTACTATTGTTATATTTCTTTGGGCGCTCTGTCTTTGACCAGTCCTTGCATAAATTTTATGATCAACTTTTAATTTCAGAACCACATGGTGTGACGGTTGAGGTCTATCCTCAGCATCACATTGCCCTGATCTTTGG